AACGGAGAAAAATGTCAAGATGGCATAAATTAATATATTTTTTCGTACATAATTGGTTATCCGAAACATCGATCTTCCGAACAACCCCAGTCCCCAATTGATTTGGATAATCGATGCTCTACTGTATTCACATTGATGAAATTTGTCATTTTTACTGTTCCTACTATTCAGATTGAAAAAAATGTCAGTTTGAATACTATTTAGACCAATTTGAGTGTTTATAATTAGAGGAGTAATACAGAGTAATACATATATTCTTAGAGATATTAATCATGCTGAATATATTTGAATTTGAAAGAGGAAATTCTTAGTAAGGATATTTGTTTTTGAGAATTAAAGTGAATGATGAAAAAGAATATTTACATTCTTATAAGAAGTCATACAGCTAAACTAAACATTTATATTATTTATCTATAATGATAAAAATTTATCCTTCTAGTGCATCATTCATATCTGTTGTTACATTTCAGGTAAATAATTATTTTACTTTTTGAAAAATGTATTCTGTTTTAGCATTTAGTATCTTCATCAAAGTGAACAAGCTTTATATCTAGAAATATTATTTGGGCATTTATGTTCAATTTTTTTTTCAATAGATAATAGAGGAGCAAGTAAAACTGCAAAATAATATTATAAAATAATAAAATGAGTTTCATACATGATAAATGTTTTGATAATTTTAAGTATTACACTATATACAGTATTTTCCCCATATCAGCAGTCAGGTGATAGGTTTCAAGCCTCTCTGTAGATGCTTGAAACCTTGGATAATATCATATTAATTCTATGTAATATGTTTTTAACATACATACAGTTCAGTTTAAAAAATTATACAGCCATATGATATTAAGCAAGCTGTTATATAAAGCACTATATAGTATATATAGAGTTTGTCTAATAAGTATTGGGACTGAATTTTTCCTGCCAATGGGAAGAGGTGGAGGGCAGTCTCTATGGGTGGAATCACTGGTGGGGAATGTCACGTAAGCTATGAGATCCAGCTCAATTGTCTCTGAGCCTTTGGAATGTGTAGATTGCACCTGAAGTGAAAGTGTGTTTAGTGCTTGCGTTGAGAGTCAAGATGCAGCAAACCATCAATCAGCGTTTTTGCCATCAAATTTTGCGTTAAATTGAACAAATCTGCTACAGAGACTTTTGATTAAAGTCTGCTGCATCCAAAGGGAGATACCTGGATGCTCCATCATGATGATGCGTCCAGTCACACGTCACTAATTGTGAGAGAGACACTGGCCAAACACAACATGTCAATGCTGCTTCAACCACACTGCTGTCCAGATTTGGCTCCCCGACTTCTTTTTATTCTCTCAGATCAAAAGGGGCCTGAAAGGACATTGTTTCAGGACGATTGAGGCAGTCCAAGTGGCTTCGACAGGGTGCCTGAACAGCCTTGCAATTGCTGACTTCCAGGAGGTGTATGAAGACTGGAAAAGGCATTGGCAGGTATATTGATGCAGGAGGTCTTATCTTAAAGATTATCCACTCACTGTACATATATCTTCAATAAATTTCTTTTTATGACTTCAGTCCTGATACTTATTGGACAAACTCTGAAACCCTGTATAATAGTAAATGTGAATGTAGATATTGTTTACACTGTGACTAGCTATAACATGACTATAACTGTGCAAGTAGGAAACTGAGAAAATGGTTGACAAAGAGATGATTCTTGATGATGATGATGATAAGCAGGTGGTCATATGCAAAATTTTAGTTTCTAATTTCTGGATTTTTTTATTTATTTAATGTTTTCAAACTGCAGGTAACTGAAACTGTGAGTGATGAAACAGCAAATAAGGGAAGTATTCTGAACTGAAACTAGAGTTGCTTCAGTCAAAATGTGTCACATTTATTAAACTTAAATAATAAAATCTAGCTATGTATTCAGCTATTCAGAGAAATTTCAAATAATTGCTTTTTAATACAAAAAAAAAGAAAGAAAAGAATAACAATTGCATGTTTACAGTGATGATGGATTATGGATGAGATCATCTATTGCTTGCCAATAGTCTCATTTAAATGCCAAATAAACTCCCAGTTTTTATCTGGCTATAAGACTAAACAATAACTGGGCAATTTGGCAGGAGGCAAGCCACCAGACTACCATCTCTTGTTAAATATAACAATTTAATTTTTTTCTGAATCCTAGCAATTACTTTTGCATTATGCACCATCACTGATCTGCCTGAATGTGGGTCATCTTTCATATCTTCTGTCTTTGAATTTTTTATATCACTCATATACTTACTGTAAAAACCACCATTTCCCCCCTCCAAAAATTGCTGTTATTGTGTATGTATGTATGTATTTGTGTATTGTTATTTACATTATCTGTAATGATTTTAGTTTAATCACTTTATTCTAATCTTTTGCTAATAATGTATTCGCTTTAATTAATTAGTTAGAAATTTTATTGTATTTTAAGCTCTATGTATAATTTATATCCTTTTTTTTTTCTTTGAGCCCACTTTATTTGGCATTTAAATGAGACTATTGGCAAGCAATAGATGATCTCATCCATAATCCATCATCATTGTAAACATGCAATTGTTATTCTTTTCGTTCTTTTTTTTATATTAAAAAGCAATTATTTGTTTATATATGGACCAAAGCTGTAAGAGGAAATTTGATTATTTTTCCAATTTTAGGGACACCCCTATAGAAATTTCTAATAATATCAACTTAGAACGATTTAGAGAAACAAATTAGAATATGAAGTTCATTAATTAGAGCAATAAATCTTACAACATACGAGGAAAAGATGAGAGGGCAATTAAATAATTAAGTTAATTTGTAAAAAAATAAAACTTAAAGGAAGTTTAATAACTGTTTTTCCCCTCCCCGCCGATCATAGTGGCGATCAAACACTGTTTCAAGGCATGAGAAGTATGAAGCTTAAAGTAACCAAAACAATCAATGAATAATGATGGGAACTATCAGTGATGACGTCTGTGGAGTACGGCATTATCACCATCTAAAGTCAAGGAAGAGTTAGAACGGTTTTGTTACGGTAATGACTCAACTCAAAAGTCGAACCAATAATAATAGTAAATCATATGGTGACTCTCCTGCGCTGAAAGGTGTATAAAAGAGGCCCAAATTCAGTCATCAGAGAGCTCCTTGGCAGACAATGGTAGAAAGCACCGGCCTTACCAGACTCCCAATAAACCATCCCATACAAGGAAGGCATCAATGGTGGATCTCATCAGCAGACAACACCAGTAGACATAAGTGGACCCCATCCCGCAATAATCCCAAGGAAATTTCGACTAGAAGCAAATGCCATTTACTGGTGGACATCAGTGAAGGACCAAGCAAAAGGGAAGAAGGAACTAGATCAAGAGACTGACCAGCCCACAAGAGAAGACTGCTCTCTTTTTCCTGGTATGTTGTAGTTCAGGCAGCCCCTCGTTTTGTAGATAGAAATAGGCAGATTTCTTGAATTGGATTTTAAGAATGTTATCCAGAACCTAATTTTCAATAATAAACTCTTGTTATTTGTATTTGACTTTGCATTCATCCTCCTGAGAGGCTCTTTCCTGGACTTCAGAGTGATTCTTACCCTTAACTATCTGTTTGTGTCAAAATCAACAGTGTGTCCAACAAAATACACCTGGTTGCAGAACCCTACCATAACTTAGCATAATCTAACTTTTGATGGCCCCTGACCCTCACATTACCTTCAACATAATGTTTTCAGTAAAGACTATTTTTAATATTTTATATATTATTAGCAATTTTATAAAAATATTTCTAAATATTTTATGTACTGTACATGAATATACATTACACTACTATTTTCTTGAACATTAAAATTTTGACTTTACTCATGAGATACAGGTCTGTAACATTTTAGCTGATTTAATTAATATGATGATAAAAACTATAAATTTTTCTTTATTATCAAAATAAAGTGGTTTACAATTTTTTTTTATATTTCAAATTCTTATATGTAATTAATGAACTTAATATTTTGTTGAGTTAGATCAGTGTTTTTCAATCTTTTTTTTTTATCTCACAGCACACTTAAACCTATAATTAAATTTCTGCGGCAAAAATTTCCTCAGAATAAATTATGTGATTTAAAGTTGTGTTTGTAAACATTCTATCCTCACATTACTTGCCACTTAGCCTAATTCTTTTTGTTTATGTTTTTGTGAATTAAATAAAACAGTATTGTTGTTCCTTAAAATAGCAGCAGGTTACAACAATAGTTATTTAAATTAATAATTTTCATTTACATAAGAAAAGCAATTAACATTAAGTTTTAATTTGCATTTAAAAATGACATGATAATTGCCTTTATAAACATGTGCAATGTCCCACTATTTCTAAATTAAAATAATTTGAACTAAATAGGGCAATTATATATACTTTTTGATTAGAAGAAAATTTCATTTTAAATGAAATAACCCAATTTTATGCACATATAATATTACTTATAAATATATTTTTTCTACTACATTAGGTATACGTTTATTTATTATAACAATGAAAAACTCGTATAACCAATTTAAAGAGGTTTCAATTTTGACATGTACACTTATTGTTCTTTAGGCTTCTCTTAAAAATAGTTTATTTAATAACCTTCAAAAATTTTTGTGGCACACTGGTTGAAAATCACTGGGTTATATCATATAATTTAATGACACAAAAACCTCATTGGACAAACTGCATTGTGCAACATTGTAAATTTAAAACAATTGTAAAGTCTGAGAAAATGGACAGGAATAAGATCACTTGAATATATAACCAGCTAAAACAATAAAAATATAAAATAGTTTACCATCATTAAAATTCAAGAACAAATGTATGTAAGCAAATCAATAGCATAAAAAGCTTTGTTTATTGCACCTGAATAGAAATTTATTGAATAAGCATGCAACATTAATCAGGATTAGTATTAGATTGTTTTAAATATAAGTAAAAATTAATTTTTACTTAATGTTTTTCCTCTGTTTCTTTTTTTAATTTCTTTATAGAAGGCATTCCTAAAGTATATTATTTTGGACCTTGTGGAAAATATAATGCACTGGTTATGGAATTGTTAGGACCTAGTCTTGAAGACCTGTTTGATTTGTGTGAAAGGAAGTTTAGTCTTAAAACAGTACTAACTATTGCTATCCAATTGGTAAGTTTTTAGATTTAAAATAATTAACTTGTTTATTCTTAATAATTTGATTTCACTTTTTCTACAGTTACATCGTATAGAATATGTCCATTCCAAACACCTTATTTATAGAGATGTAAAGCCAGAAAATTTTTTAATCGGAAGACAGTCCACTAAAAGACATAACATTATTCATATCATAGATTTTGGTTTAGCAAAAGAATATATAGATCCAGAAACAAATAAGCATATACCATACAGAGAACATAAAAGTTTAACTGGAACAGCAAGATATATGAGTATAAATACGCATCTTGGCAAAGGTAAGATTGCATACAAGCACTCTGTATCAAACATAAATGCATTATGACATAAAAAGGTATTAGTAGTATTTTAATTTTATTTCTTTCTTATTAATTTACAGAACAAAGTAGAAGGGATGATTTAGAGGCACTTGGACATATGTTTATGTATTTTTTACGAGGCAGCTTGCCGTGGCAGGGTTTAAAAGCAGATACTCTAAAAGAACGATATCAAAAAATAGGAGATACTAAAAGAGCTACTCCTATTGAAGTGTTATGTGAAGGTTATCCAGGTAAGGCTTGTTTATAAAATTCTATGTAAAACTTGGAAACTTATTTTTAAATAAAATACAGAAAATTTTATATGTAAAACTTTGTTTATAACTAATAACCTGTAAACAGTGTCTCACTATATAAATGATTTAGGATAAATGTATAGTAGTTATATGAATAATTTAAATATCTTTATAATAAATAATAATATTGTGTAATAAATTCTTAAGAATTGAAATATTAGGTTGGCTTCATATCAATTTGTATCAACATATCTACCATTCATATTCTTATTTTTCACATATAATATATTGATTCAAACATGTAATAAATTTATTCATTAAATAACAACTTACAATTATACCTTGAATTAAGAATATGGTTTTATTAATTAAATAACCTATGATGATAATAAATATGTATACAGTAAAACCTCTTATTTTGAAACTCAAGGGACTAAAAAAACACACGACTTTGAATTATTCAAACTTTTTTGAATCAAAAATGTTTGTAATTCATGAAAAAAAATTACGACATTATCTTACGTAATTTCATCTGTTCATTTACAAATGTGTTAATATTACAATTTATTACTTGGTTTTTTTTTTTTTGATATAGCTTAAATTACTAACAGTTGGTGTGTGTACTTAATGAAAACAATGAAAATGTAACCAAATTACATTCAAAGCAAGACCTGAAAAAAACGTATGAAAGAAGCTTAAGTGCTTCAATAAGAATTACTGTAAATTTTGGCTAGAGAATCAATGGCTAGCTCTTTGAAGAATTTACCATCTTGAATTCATGATTACGAAAATCATGTTATTTGATGAAAATAAGTTCTATTAACAACTAAAGCTATAAGTACGCATTCTATCATGAATACACTCATGTATTTAATGGACTTTGAAATTATTGATACAATAGATTTTTGTGAAAAATACCAAAATAGTTAAATGCTAAACAGATTTCTTTCATAAAAATATAAAAAATGTTCTAGCTGCTAATCATATCTCCTTCTCTGTGAGTCTTTTTTTCTGATGTCAGCTTTCTTTCATGTGCTTGTAGGGAATTTTTTTCCTGGCCTTACACAGTTGCATAAATCTTTTACAGTCATGCTTGATAGTGGGAGTTTTGGCAGCAACTCAGAAAACCATTTTTCAAAAATAGATACCATTCATATCCTGATGGTAATCTCCTGTATTTTTGGACCAGCTTTGTTTTTATCAAAACATAAGCATGCACATGTGCATGCTTATGTTTTGATAAGCATGTACATGTGCATCATGATTTTGATCATGTACATGCGCATGTATCATGTGCATGTACATGATCAAAACATAAGCATGCACATGTGCATGCTTATGTCTTGATAAAAATTTACATCAGGAATACACATGTTGACATAACAATGCAGATTTTTTAGAAATTGTAAACTCTTGCAATTTAAAGTGGTATGTTGTGTCAGAACTACTTCCAGAATGTCAAGGAATAAATTATCTATTCCATATATAATATAATATATATTCCCAATTATTCAGACCAATCACTAGTAATGGAGGTATGGATTATGCACAAACACTGATAATCAGCAAGTCTGTTTTATTGGAGGGTTAATTTTTTTTAAATTTCATATTAAATTAAATTTAGCATATTTTACATATTATGAATAAAAATGTTATATTACACATTTCCATTATGGGGAGAAAAAATAGAAATGGCAAACAATGGACAATATAATGTTTGACAAATGGTACATGAAAAATGTAATGCTAGTTCACATCATCATTTGGTACTCTATTTTACTGTGGATGTGACTCTTTCTCAATAGCTACACACCAGCTTTGTTTTTTCAACTATAAATTGTAAATATTAAATTTTAGTTTAAAATTTTTTACATTTGAATTTAAAATATAATTTTCAAAATATTATAAATTAACAAATATTTTTGTTAAACTCTTCATTGGTAATTATGACTTATTGAAGAAATAACATTTTTGGAAGAATTATTTGAAATAAAGCTATTAAACATATAATCTGCTATAGGTATTTTGTTTTTTCCATATTTACTGTATAATGTATAAAAGAAAATGTGATTAGTTGAGGAGGTGAAAATCATAAGTTGATGATAAAACTTAGTTTGCTTAATTTTAAGAAAAGTTTCTTGTCATCTTGTATAAATTGTTTTGCTTAATTTTTTATGGTAATAGTGAATTATAAATAATTATCTTTTAACATAATTCAGTCATTAATATTTCCTTTAATACATTGCCGTATGAAAACATAAAAGTATGGTGTATAATACTTGGCATAGAAAACAAAACTGTTGTGTGTCTGCACTTTATGTACAAGCTTGAAATGAGAATTATCTATGTTTAGTTATCTCCATTTTCAATTTTTGCTAATTTTTTAACTTAAACTTATTATCTTTAATGAATGACTCAAACAGCACCAAAAAATTAAAATGATTCTACATTTATTACTATTGATTTACCATATAAATGTGTATCAACTTTTGAATGTCATTTCTCTAAAAATTGTTTATATTCCAAAAGATTTTTGAAATATTTTGTATTTTGGATACGTACTTGTAAATACAATGGGTGATTGGTTAACAAACAGTTTGGACTATGAACAAATTCGATAACAAACACTTTTGCAAAAGATTTTTATGTTTGGACCACGAACATGTGTTTGGATAACAAATACCTCACAGAACAAACACAAGAAGTGACGTAAAATAATGAATACCAATTGGTCTTCCCTTGTCTTCAGGCAACTTTTTGGACTGCGGGACACTCAACTTGGTATATACTGATCAGATAGTATTCCTTTGAACTTTGAAACTCTCCCTTGTAATTCCAGCCTCTTATTTTTCTGACAGAAACAATTCTTTTATAGTATTCGTGAGACTGTTAGGCGGGCACTTGTTTAAGTTTTGCATCAGTTTTTATTTTCGAAAGGTGAGAGTATAATAGCAAAGGTAGAGGGTGGGCAGAAGATGTCTGGTGTTGCTGGGTAGTATGGCTTGAACAGATCTACAGTAGCACAGTTCAATCATATCTAAGAAAGATACTGTATAATCAAGAAGACTCAAGCAGATTAAGGAGTAACAAAAATCACATCTGAGAAATAAAGAACGTTGAAGAGCTCATAATAGAATTTGAAACTGATCTGACAACGGAAGAACACCAAGAAACTCAGCAAAATATGTTTTCTTCTGAAAAAGAGGATTAATGCTGATATCTATTTTTAAACATCTTTTGAAGTGGGAGGATGTCAGAACAGTGGTCTTAGAATGGCATCCGGACCAGGTTGAGGTTAATAGGCTTGGGGATCTCTACAATTACAATACTATTAATTATTTCTGAAAAATCCTGAAGAAGAGAGAAAAGCAATCAACATTAGACAGATTCTTTAACCCTCACAAATGGAAAAAACGTGACTAATAAAAAATGCAAGACTGTGTATATACGTATTTTTATTATTACATATAAATAAATGTAGTAAGAAAGTATATGCTTTTTATTTTTTGGAGTTTACAGAATGAATTAATCAAATTTCCATAAAAACCTAGGCAAATCAATAATTGGATAACGAACAAAGTCTTGGAACAGATTATGTTCATTAACTGATCACCCACTGTATATGTAGTTGTGTGAATGAATTAATAATATATTTATAAAATTCCCAAGAAATCATACATTACTGGTTATATTTATGATATTTATTAAATAAGATGATTATGTTGTATAGAGAGGAGCTAATTTTTGTAATTTATAAATTTTTTTGATACTGTGATTTAACAGACACCCATATATTTGTATCACAATAAAATTTTTATATATAATTTTAATCGTCAAATAAAATGAAATTGAAATTTATGCGCTAAAGAAATTATTTTGAATGATGCTAACACTAGAGAAATATTGATATTACTGTTTTAATTCTAGATGAAATGGCAACCTATTTGAGATATGTCAGAAGATTAGATTTCTTTGAAACTCCTGATTATGATTATCTTAGAAAATTATTTCAAGATCTGTTTGAAAAGAAAAGTTTTATTGACGATGGAGAATTTGACTGGACTGGAAAGCAACTTGTAAGTAATATGAATCTGAATAATATGTAAAAAATAATTTCTTGAGAGTTATTATTATTATCAAACCAACTTAATCAAACTTTTAAATTCATAATTTTTGAACAACATATTTATATAGATCTACAAGTATACACTTACAAAACTGGTATTGTTTTGATTTTTTATCATTAATCATTTACTATATTTATCCATATTCTTGTTTTTCTTCTAAATTATACTTTTGACAAAAAAGAAAATTTACATTAATAAGTTGGTAGGATAGTAATTTTTGGCTTTCACCATCTAGTACTATTATTCACTTTTATCTCTTTCTCCATCTGTAATTCCTCTATTTTTCTTTTCATATTATAATCAATAATAATGTATTAAATTTATTAAAAGTTGAAATTTCTTTATTTATACAAAATGGAAAAATATATAGATTAATTACATTTGAATTATTTATTAATTTCTGTTTTTAGTGCCTTTCAATTTGTTTTTACAAATAAAATATATATCTGGATTTTAAATTTGCTGATGTACTATACTTAATCAAAGCTTACAGTTCTGTGGTTGCCATTCTTTGCTTTTATAAATTGAAAACTATAAAATTTATAATGTTTTTACACATGTAAAGATTAATTTATGCTTGTGTTTAGCTAAAGTAATTAAATTACAAAGTATTTTTGGTTTAGTAGTTAAATATAGAATAAAAAGCAAAACATTACAGTTAGAAATTAATTCAATAAAATATATATTATTTTTTTTATATTTTTAATTTAAATAATTTGATATATATTTTCATGATCATGTTTGTATGTTTTTGTTATTTATTATATATATATATATATGCAAATGTACAGTACATCAGAGAAAATAGAAACAAATCTTTACATAATTTATATGTACATAATTAAAAAAAGTGGCTAAAATGATGTAAGAAAATGAAAATATTCATAAAATTCAGTTGTACAAAATTCACAATTATTATTATTATTATTATTAATCAAATAAGCTTCAATATGAAGAGCATTAGTTCTCAGTTTAAGTCAGAATGTTATTTGGTTTTACTCTGAATTAAATCATATATCAATTCCTACATGTAGCCATGTTTATTATAGTCTTCCATTATGCAGTCTAAAGGTTGAAAATTTTTTTCTTGTTCTACAAAATTGCTCTTTTCAGTTTGCTTTTTTGGGGTGTATTTATTTATCCACTAATTTTTTTATGTTTCCAGTATATGAAGCTTGTTGTGAATCAGAAAGTTCAAATGTATGACATTAAGTAATGTTTTAATATTTTGGAATTTAAATGGTTTTTTCTGTTTTTAAGAAAAACTAGAACAGAGTCAATGATGTGTTTTCTACAGTTGAAAAGTTAGCATTATTCCACATATATGTTTGATGTTTGACAGTTTCTGAAGATGGTTTGATATTGCAAATTTTTCAGTTATATCTGTTTGATTTCTTCTAGACAGTTTTCAGTCAGTAAAATATTAATTCATCTCCACCTATCCAGATTCAAAATATTTCAATCTATTTATAAAATTTTAGCTTGATTCTGAACTTTGTACATTTACTAAAAGTATGCCCAAAATAAAATTATAATTCTATCAAAATTATATGCAATAAAGAAATCAAGAGTAATTCTATTTGTCACATGCATTTAGCATAATGATTTGACAGATTTCAGTTCTGTAAATTATAATATGCAATTCATTTTCTGCTTGAGTTCACTTGAGCTGGTACTTTTGATGATAGGATTTGTTTATACAGCTTAAATGTAAATTTGAGGTTGGCTAAGAAGTATGCTCTGAGGCAGCTAGGTTCAAATTCGTGACATATTTCAGTCTCCATTTTGGGACAAATTCATTTTTTATGGATGGTCTGTCCCAGTTGGGCTCAATTGCAGATGTTGCTAAACTTATAATTGGCATATTCTTGTGTCCACAGAATAGAGTTAAAAAAACACTGTAAATTTAAATTAATAATTGATAAAATTGTTTCTTTCCCTATATAATTACATATATCTGAGAAAATATATATTTTTTAATATCATTTTTGCACATCCTACACATTCAGTTAACAAAATATTCAATGAGGAAAGTAACTTGCTTGGAAAACTCAGAATTCAAGAAACTTTTCTTAATTGACATTTTTTGATAAATATTTCTTAGTGAATTTTCAAATTTTAGATGCTATTTCTAATTATTTAACCTATTTACTTAATTGTATAAAGCAAATATTTCTGTTACTTTACCTTTTATTATGCTTTTTGTAACTTTTATCAAGCAACTTTTAAAAATTGAGATAAGTAAAAGTAACTGGCTTCCTAGCTACTAAACCTCTGAGTTTGCAGTTTAGAAGTGAAGTGAGACTTGATAGTTTGATCACACACAATTTACCTTGTTAAAAATGAGAAATAACAATTTGACATGAATTGTAAAAGCAGGGTAAAAGTAAATGAAATTTTGGCATGAAAATGACCAAAAATGTTTGTTATATATAGGTAGCATATGTAGAACCTTTAAAGACAAGATAAAACAGGAACAAAATAAAACAACATTAGCAGAGGTTTACAATAACAAGAAGACTCAATAATGTGAGATGAGCATATAGTTGTTGATACAAAAACTTGCCCACATGGATAGGAAAACTGTGTAAAGATGTGAGTAGCAAAATAGTTGTTAACATAAAGGGAAAGGATGGAGTTATTACAGTGGTTATGGTTGGAACTGATAATTAACATGTAAACAATTTGATTTTAAGAAAAAGTTTTTTTAATATGTTGCTATAATTATTTAAAATTTATTTTTGTTTATGTAAACACTAATTAATTAATCCAAACAAACAAGATATAAATATAAAAACATACAATCTTTTTCTTTACCATATAAATTTATTTTTGTTCTTTATTTAAACACTAGCTTACCCGTCGCGCATTGCTGCGATCTCAGAAGAAAGGAAATTCAAGCAAACTCGTTATAATATAATTAAATTTTCATTTTATCATTTTTATTGAAACTTATTATTATTATTCGTTTTCATCGGGAAAACATTTCAAAGTGTTGTTTCAATTCTATTTATTATTGGAGTGCTCGTGGATACACGATATTTTTTGTTTTTTCGTCTGGTGCGTACACGAATAAATCGGAAGGTTTTCCGACGCGTGAGTTGGCCACATACAGTTGTCCACGCGAGAAGCACGGATTCTCCAAAATTTAGCCCACACACTCGCAGCGATTGTCAGAAGCGCGATATTTTTTAATCCTTTATAATTTTAATTATTTAATTGCTCCTTCCTCTCTTCCTTGGCATGTTGTGAAATTTCTGATAGTTGGATAATAAACCGTTTTATTGTAATTTGTCTTTTTAAATTATTTTGAGTCGATATTAAAATTTGAAAAGGGGGGATACCTAGATCGGTAAAATATGCAAATTTCTTCCTACAACTTCGGTCGTTGTTCGGGGTACAGTTAAGATTTTAACGAAGTTCGAGCGAATACGTAATTAGCAAAAAAAGTCAAAATAAAGTGATTAAACAAAAATTATTATAAATATCGTAAATAACAGTAAATATTGTAAATAACAGCATATATAGAGATATTTTTTGAAGGGGGAAAATGGTCTTCACAATTTGAAATCGATCGAACACACTGTGCGCGAATGCTCGTGTAAACGCGCGCCATCTATCGTAGGATAAATGTACTTCGCGGGAGTGTATTAAAAAATTAAAAAACTTTCCAAAGTTTCATGGCAATCGTACTATGCCACAAACCTTCACCGGAGTATATTAAACAACTTCCCAAAGTTTCACGGCAATAGGATAAACGGTGTGGTAATGCATGAAGGACACACACACGCACGCACACACACACACAGACACACATACATTCATTTTTATATATATAGATAAAACATTAATAAAAAAAACTCAAAAATATATTCGTGTTCCAAGTTTTGAAAATCATTTAATCTCTCTAAATAATTGGCCTTCTTGAATTTCTTAAGCATTTTTACATTTTTATTTGCTTCATGCAATGAAAAGTGGAATCAAGTATTTCATGACAGTTACAGGCACTATTTTAGAATTATTTTTTGAGCTGCTTTTTTTTTATTGGCATTAATAATTCATAACCAACATCAACCACACAGTAATATTTTGTTTTCATCAAATCATGAAAATTATGATAAATACACATTTAAAAGAACTTTCACATCTTTAGAAATTAAAAAAAATAGTTTTAAAACCATTTTGAATCACTAAACAATTTACTGACTGGTTAATTTTAGAAATTCAAATAAGAATTTGGTATGACACTATATATATATATATATTAAAATAATCTTTTTATGATAAATTTGAAAGGCACTAAAAATATTAGGTTTTGCACAATTTTTGTTAGTTATTGTTTTATATTTTTTAACTATTGCACATTGATTACTCTTATTATTAACTGTTCCTCTCTGCATGTTTCGTTTTATTTAATTCTCTCTGTACTTTGCATGCAAATATTTTCTAACTGATTGAATCAGCCTCCAAATTTCTTTCAATTAAAACAACTCAGAAATGCTTTGCCTTCAAATATTGAACGTAACAGATCTGGGAAGGTTTGTACAAAAATTTTATGATTATAAAAAATAAATGCTATACTGTAAATTTCAGATATTGATATTACTATTATATTCTCTAGTCCACGCCAGTTGGATCTCTACAAACTGGTCAAGAAGTGATTGTTTCTCCAAATAGAGAAAGACATATTACCTCAGATACACGGGTATGTATATGTAATAAATTATGACTAAAATTAAATTAATATTAACAACAAATACTGTATATATCATAGAGTTGCACTGAATTTTAATGTAGTCATCCTATGTGAAAATACACTTAACTAAATTACATTATTTTTTTTTTGCATAAAATCTTTAATTTATATGCAACATTCTTTCAAATATTACTCTTAATTTTATTTTTAAATTTGGCTTACAAATGGTTGTTTAGCTGTGTGGCATTTTGATGTACTGAACAGTAAAACCTGTCTATGGTGACCACCCATGGTTCCTTCAAAAAGTGGTCTAGACCATTTCTGCACATATTTTGTGAGCAGATATGTCTAAAAGCCATATACTAAGCAAAACTTGAAATGAGCAAAAATAAAGAGAATTTTTTCAACAATAGAGCTATGTTGGTACTGTATTTTATTCTTATTGGGTAACTCGATTAACAGAAGTCGTCATGATTTTATAAGACCAATTTAATACCAGTATTTTAAAGATTAATACATTATTTGCATTTTCTCGATTATAATGCACACTTTCTTTTTTCCAACTTAATTTACCTTGGTTCTCTTTGTTCACTCCTCAGTTACGTGTATTATGTCACCAATATAGAAGCACATGGTATCTCTCCACCACTTCGGTTTTGGTTTTCGTTAGTTTAATCTTATTTTAACTTAAAATTAAAAAATACAGTATTTTTAAAGTACAATAAAAAATCATTAATTAATAATAAAACATATTATGAGAAGAAATAATAAAATCAATTTCATTACATCAGTGACAATTGAAGAATCAAAAAAGGAAGGTTGCCTGTAAAACTGATTTTTGCATGAATGCGTTTATTGTTTTTTGAATATTTTGCGTGCAAAAATTACTTGGATATTATTTTTCAAAAATATTGCGGAAATAAGGTATGTTGATACAGAAACTATTTATCTCACATGTACCGTAATGAGCTTCAAAAAGAAATAAATAAAATAAATTTTGTCAAACGATGAGATCAGCCGATTAACTGTATCATGTACAATATTTTATACCCCTAAGGAAAAATACTGTAGGTCTAAGGTAAAATAAATTGTGTTTTCCCACAGTTAAACTTGGTTGCTAATTGCCATTGTAATAAACCATTTTCACTTTCACGTTCACTGATAACTTTAACATGATCTTCTAATGACAGCACTATTTCTTTGGTTTTTTCTGACAATTTCAAACAAACAAATACATTTCCTTTGTTGTTAGACTAATTCATTAACACCTGTACCTAATTTCAAAGGTGGTAGAAGTGCCCAAGGTGGGTTCAAATAATAGTTAGACCAGATATATTTGCAGAAGTGGTCACTTATTACAGTTGTTGTAATTTGTTTCTGACCAAAAATTGATGCCTATGTTACACAGGTGGTCGTTTAATACGGGTAACTTATATGAAGACTCTATGTATAAAGTATACTGTGCCAGAAATTTTCTCCTGTTTTAACAGGTGTCTGTGCAGGTGGTCACCTAAGCAGCTTTTACTGTATTTCATGTTTCTCTGAAAACTTCTATAGAAACAAAGTATACAAAAGTCTGTTCTTGGAATCAATTTTCTAAAGTAAAAGCGCTAACAAATTTTTAGTGTTCAACTCAAATCATGGGTGTTTAGATATTATTTTGCTTCATACATGTTTTATTCAGTACAGTAGTGTTTTTAAGTATATGGTTTTTTATGTATTATATACACTCTTGTTAATCCAAACCAATTTTGATCATTTTTCCACTAAATTGTGTAGCAAAACACATGTCAGATTTGCCTGTAGTCCTTTTTGACTTGATTTTCTTTATATAAAAACTCTGTACAATAATGTTTGGATCAGTAAGAGTACACTATACTTAAATATATTCAATATTATTTCATCCTCAGTACTTGATTAAAAGTTAGTAAGTAAATGAAGTTAGAGATAAAATTAATTATTTTTTAGCCAATGTTTACTGTACAAAGTATATAAATTTAGCTTAACTATAAAATATCAAGAGATTATATAATAGATAATTAAAAAAAGTATACTGAATCAATAAATGACAGAGATTAAATTTATTTATCTAAAAGTTGTTGAATTTTAGAGAATGAATTTTCAGTCTAAATTACTGTATCAACTTTTTACATTCAATAATGTAATTTTTCTTATCATGCATATTAGAACATTATAGATACATTTATGTAGGTTTTTCTAGTAACTAAATCATGCCTGTCTATTGTATGGAGAAATATTAAACATCATAATATATGTTTAGACAAATATGTTATTTTTAATAAATACAATAAAGTGAAAAATGCACAAATGGTCAAAAAATATTGTAGTTGAGCAAGAAACAAACATATCAATTTATTGTGGGAGATCAGTTAAAATATATCAATTTGAACACACTAACATACAAGAGTACTGAGATAGGTAACTTGGTACTCTGATGTGTTAGTGTTCAAATTGCATTACTTACTTTGTGCTTCTGTATTGCCTACTGAAGAGGAACTGTTGGAAAATACATTTTGAAATGCATATAGTGTAAGTAAATCTCTTTGACTAATAATAATAATAATAAATTAAAAAATAAAATCTTACTGATTTTTTTCTTCTAAGTACCTTTCCTTTTAAAGGTTTTTAAATTACATCTATATTACTATTAATAATAATTTAAAATATATAATTTTTTTCTTTTATAATTATCTGTAGTAAATAAATTTTATGTGAAAAAGGATATATTACTGAAATATGCATCAATTGCTTACAGAAAACAGAACTTTACACTGATGTAAAATGAATTGGTTTACTTTTGGCCTTAGTTGATACAGCACTTTGAAATTTGAGTTAGTCAGATTGTGGCACAAATCAATAGTGATTTTTGTGAGATCACACCACATTATTATTCTATATGTTTGTTAAAATTTATTTTTTTATAGCATATTAGGCTAGTATTTTTATGAAAATAGTAAAATTGCAGCTCTTGCAATTCAATTTGATTAATGAAATTATGTGTGTACTCAAAGATGTTTGATGACAAATACTAACTCAGTTATTATAATCTAGTCATAGAGTATCTTGTTTAATGCTTGAATCAGTTACAAATTTAAATATGCTATTTTCAACTTCTATATAATAAAGATGATGAAAAATTTATTTTCAGCATGGTAAACAACAAAGAACAGCATGGCTGGAACAGACAAACAAACAGCCAGGGTCAAGCATGCTAGGCACAAACCTCACACAAGCAGATCGTCACGGATCCGTCCAGGTTGTCAGTTCAACCAACAGTGAGTTAGCCAACGATAATCCCACAACAGGTCACTCCAACACACCAATTACAGTTCCAGTAGAAGTAGAAGTGGTTTCAGAGACTAAGTAAGTCAAAATATGCTTAAAATTTAATTGTTATGAGTTTTACTGTTTCTTGTAATACAAAATATGCTTTTATCATTTTTTTTTCAACAGATGTTGTTGCTTCTTCAAGAAAAAACGGAAAAAACCAGGAAGACAAAAATGACTCGCCGTCATGTGTAGTCCCGAACAAGAAGCAGTGTTATTACAGACATCGCCTTCGGATTCCAAGGAAAGCATTGGTGCAGTCCACGTTCAAACTGCCACTGTATGAATGTCTTCACGATCTTCTCAATCATATTCACCATGTCTTTGATTTGTTCTGCAGCTGTGGCACTACAGACATAGAAAAAACTTCAAGATATCAGACAGACAAATTAAGTAGCATGGAATCTTTTAATGGCTTAAATATGTGGCTTAGTGTCCAGATAACAAAGTCAAAACATCTAAGAAAGGTACACCTTTGATTTTGTGAGGACAAGAGTGGATATAGCACCTCTGTTCCTTTCTTCCAATCTTATTTGCATTGAGAGACTTCAGGAAATTTTTTTCTTGGCTATTGTAGATGCGCTCCAGCTCCCATTTTTTGAATCACAACGGATATCAAAGCTCATTGGTTCTTATGTATTAAAATACAATTTTAAATTTTATTATATTGACTTGATTCTAAATTAAATTTCTTTTAAAAGATCAATTTAAAAGTACTTAAAAAATAAACAATAAAAAAAGCAAAAAAAAAAAAGATTTCAACTGGTGACAGTCAAGTGTTCTGTGCATTAATCAGTTATCATAGTTCAGATGAAAATGAGATAGAATGACCTAAATGTGATTCCTGTGCCTCGGATGCATTTTATTACAACGCTGAATTCCCCTCTAGTTGCCGCATACGTTGGTGTGATTCATAATTCTCGGTGTCCAGATGTAAATATTTTATTTAATCATCACCACTGCGATTCGAGTGACATTGGTGATGTTTCGAGTCTTTCAGTGTGCACTTACGTGGTAATCGATCATATAGCATCAGAATTCTCATTTCTTTTCCATGGCAATAAATAAATTTTTTTTTTCTGAAAATTGGGTAAATGTTAGTAATGTATTCTGTAGATAGCCTTGGCAAACAAAAACTATAAAGAAAAGTTGCCAAATTAAGTAGAAAGGAGTATTCTGGTGCTGAACCAAACACAAGTTTTCCATCCTGATTTATTACTACTACTATTATAATTATTGCAAGTTTTTTTTTTTAAGAAAATGTTATAGACATTGTGAAGTCAGCTTATGATCTCGCCTTCCTATTTGTCTCTAAATAGAAATCAACAGTCGATAAACATGTATTAGTTCCTTATTAATAAGCGTGTTTAAGTTTTATGTACCATCTGAAACTTTTTTTACTGTACAGAATCTTTAGGTTGAAATATACTGCATGATCCTTATTCCAAACACATGGTTTTAAAATATTTCATACTATCAATGTTTCAATTAATTTTTTTAGGATCTTTGTAGCAGCTTGTACTATTGTAGTGCAAAACTTGAAATATTTGTATCTTGTACAGCTGGAATAAACCAGAAAAAGTTAATGCATGTCTTTGTTTTTCATCACTAACTTATGAAAAATTATTTGTTGGCATTAACAGCTTTCATGCATGTACCTAAATAGCTTAGTGATGACAATCAAAGCTTAAACATGAAATTTGAATAATAATAATTGAGAATTTCAGTAAATTTCCATTTACAGCTGAAAGAAAACCACAATAACAATTGTCTTCTTTTGGCATTAATTCATATATAGACCATTGTTTTTGGCATTAAAAATTAATAGGAATTACTAATTTAACAATTTTTAAATTTATTTATAGAAATGAACAGGTAAACATTTTAAATTATACTAATATGGTACTTCAACTCTGCACTTCTTAGTCTTGTAAAATGTGAATAGTACTATTAAACATTCACTTGATTCTATAGAACGGGTCCCCAAACTTTTCAAGAGGAGGGCCACATTATTAATTCTGAAAACAGCAGTGGCCGAGTGTGATTTAATATCTCTCTCTTGCTAACTCAAACTGTATATGTAAGTTGAGAAAATACATTACAAATAATGTTTATTTTAAAAAGCAGTTAAGTAGTCCAACTTAAAAAGAGGTCCCATTTTCTCGGAAAACGGTATTAAGTAAACATGACCCTATTGCTCACTCTCCTTAGCTTCAGTTAGAATCATTTAATGTGAGTAAATCATTTCTTTTTTAATTGTCTAGAAGCAAGGCAGGCTAGATCCGGCCCGCAGCAGTAGTTCAGTACCCTGCTATAAAATACAAAATGCCGAAGAGAATTATTTAGCCATACAGCCACAGCTCCATTGTCCATATCTTAACATACTTCCTGATATTTGTTTCTGAAAATATCTTTAGAATTTTTCCTATTAAAAATAGTGAACTTGTTCCCAGTCCATTTAATTAACTCCAAGCAATTTTCCAAAAAAACTAAAATGCTAATCATATATTAATAGATTGAAGTGTTTATTAGTAAAATTATTGGAGTCATTAAAGGATGTTCGTAAGCAGTAATGCAATGAATGAGTTTTTTTTAGTACTTTTCTTTAGAAAGTGTGTATTTCCTGTTAAGAATATATAAATAGACATCAGTGAAAATGTTATTGTGTAAAAAAAGTATAGTATTATAATATAAACATTTATTTATTGTGACATTGTCGCAAAGCACTTTAGTAGTATCTCGTCCCTGTTAGATGACTGACATAATTTCAATGCTAACTAACTCTGGGAGAAAATTTTTGAATTGAAATAATGTGACTTCTAGCCCAAAGTGGAAGTTAATTGGGCTCCTAACCCTAAGCTTTCCATATCTCATCTTGACTTTCATCTATCTAACACAGTTCTAGAGATTAATGATGGACAGACCGACAACAGTGGGAATTTGTAGATCTAAAATTTTTTCAAATTGCATCCCAACAACGAAAACAAGATGGTGAACTTACTCTTATTGCAAAATTTAAGTTATTAAATTTGCTAACCCATACAACAGTAGGACTAACACACCACTGCTGACACAAATAACAGATATTGAGAATGCAGTCAGTCACTACTATTTTTTCATTAGTGCTACTTTCAAATTCATTTTTTTTAAAAAAATTCATAATACCAGTATAATTCAATTTGAAAATATCATTGGGTACTAAGGTATGACTATAAACTATTAATAATAGACTGAAATCTATATACAGGTATACCTCGCCTTACGTCGGTAATTGGTTCCAGGAGAGGCGACTTAAGTTGAAAAACGACATAAGTCGAATTTACTTGTCACTAGGCTAAACCACAAATTACCATTTTCAGTTCTGTATTTTATTTATAAATGCATTTTTAATAATATATGGTTAATAAGAATCAATTTTAAGCTTACAAACAAATAAATTTTAGTTTTTAATACAGAAAAAAGTAATCTAAATTTATGAATTCATGTACTACAGTATGTACATACTTGTAAATGTACATGTTTACAATTTGGCGATGTTTACAGTATATCTTTAGTTGTGAATGTGGTTTGCTCTAAGACATTATAAAATAAGATGATTTTGTAAGGTTAAATAACAAATATAGTTATTAAAATTATCTTGCAACAGTAGAAAATAAACTAATTTATATTAAATTTACCAATATTGAGTGGTGCTGACAACGATGCCAAACGGTAGATATTGGAGCTACCGTGGAAAACACCAATACTGACAAGTGAGCATTAAAGACTGCTAAATAAGATGACAACAGAAACACAGATGTTTTAATGTTTCATTCTCTAGGATTTGTGATGATTATATTAACATTTACTGTAAATGTACATATTTTAATATGATTTTGTGTGCTTTAATGCTTTTCTAGTGATATTATGACTTCAATATTTGTGGCAAACAGATGTAAAGTCGAATAAAATGACTTTAACTGATTTTTATTTTTTCATATATTTTTTGACAAATGACGTATAATCGAGAACGACTTAACTCAAGGTATACCTGTATATAAAATTACATCCTGACTGATTGATTGATTCATCACCACCCAGAGATGAAATTTGTGTACTATACCTAGTTAGGGGACGTCATGAAAATGCACACTAAGAAGGGATTTTTGGAAATTCCCCCATGGGGGAGAGGATTAAGACTTAATAAGTCTTAGCCCTGAAAGGCAGTACCACAAGCATGGTTTACAGAGAAGTACTGGAGTAACTGAAACTTTATTTTTCTGTAAGTATTTGTAAGGTAGCCATCCAGTGGAGATAAGGGACTTGGAAACCCACTCCACTGCACCTGTTTAAGGTTGCTGTGTAAGGATGAATCTAAGAGAAGGTTGTATGTGGGCTGTGGCGGAGGAGGCAAATGATGACAAGTGTTTTACATAAGAGAGCCGTTTATTTGTTAACATTTATGCTTATATCGACAATTGACAGTCCACTAGTTTTTCAGTGAGGCGAGAAATTCAGCATCAGTTGTAGCCCTGGGGCGGATGAGATGAGGTCACTGGGCAAAGCGGACGATCAGGAAACTGGTGTGGTGGAGTTCTAAGTTGTTGGAGACGATAGTGGCCGAATGGCTGAGCAGTCAAGGTTACAGCCTACCGCTCTGGGGGACCCGGGTTTGAATCCAAATGGGTTGAAAAATCCCCAGGAAATTTTCGGGGGGCGGTCTGTTCAGATATGTTGGATCCCGGTAGCATCATTGTGGGCCTGGCTGAACCCATAATGGGCTTGCAAAAAGAGGCCCTCTTAGTACCCACAGGGCAGAGAGTTAAAAAAAAAAAGTTGTTGGCGATGACACAACACAATTCAGATCAGGACCTTTTGTGAAATACAGACAAGACTCCCCTTTGACCTTTGAATTTCTGATTTTTATAGTTTTTCTCCCAATATTTGGATTTCCGATTGGCCCCTCGTCCCTTTCCTTGCTTCCCGATTGGTCTCTTTTGTTTCGTGCAAAAACTGAGACTGCCTCGGGTCACAGGAAAGGTCCAGTTCCAGATGTCTATTCGATGCCTTTTTGTCAATTGTGCTTGGTGATTGTTGACAAACCTGCACTCATAATTTAGCCCCGTTACTAGTGATTTCTGTCATCTGGGTACTTTGATGATCATATGCAATGATTTATATCTCATAAATCTTTCCTGAAATTGTTTCCCTAGACTGATTATTTATGAGTGCTTGGGTTAAAGTTCTACCTGTTTATAAACACTTGTCTGACTTATAACTTTTCATTTTGACATTGACAGTTCATTTAACACATGTTGGAGTCATCCAGGACACATTGTTTACATTTTGTGCCATGTTTAGATTAACTTTGAGAGAGAGGAAAATCCCTTAATCTATCGTTATAATTTAAACATAAGAATACCGCAATTTTGGACCTCAATTGGGTCCTCACATATTTATACTTTATGAATTTTCAGATATCATCATTTATGTTTTGAAAAAAAATTAAACTCAGATTTATTGTACCTTGGAATCCTATAATATTTGAAACTTGAATTTTAGATGCATTAGCAGTCCACAGTTCGAAACAAACAAAAATCAGTAATTTTACCAAATTAGTAAGAACTAATGATTGAGAATCTTAGTGAAGAACTGAGGGAGGGTTATTTATATCAAATTGCAAAATCCGTGGGTAACAGCTAGTAATGTAAATACAGGGTGTAAATTTCATTACAGTCTAATAAATCAGCTCCATCCAATATTTTAGGGTCAAAAATGAAGCTTAAAATCCTACATAAAAGTCTTTCAAATTGTGAATTTTTGGCAGGCCAGACCTTGAAAAAATATCAGAAACCCATTTTAAGCCTCACCAAAGGGATATGGTCATTTGTTTTCTCACTTCTGTATTATCGACACATAACAAAAACAAAGTTTTCTTTTAAACATTGAAACTTACTTTTTTGAATACTGTATTATTAAAATGGGTTCACATTTTCATTTGAGTATTGAGCTAGTAGTACTGTACATGTCCATATCCATGGAGGACATTTTGGGCAATTCTTGTAAATTATTCTGTTTTTCTACAATTTTTTTCAACAACTGTTTTTCTACAATTTTTTCAAAATTCGCGGTGTAAATTTACTTTGAATAACTTGCTTTCCAGCTAAGTTTTTTTTTTGTGTTTACTGCAAAATTTTATAACAGATAAGGCTTTTACATTTATTACAGTAGGGTCTACTTGGGCAATACAGTAGAACCTCGATTATCCGGATTGTTCAAAGTAAACAAAAATTTTACGATTTTGCTGATTTGCACTTGGCCAATTATGATACTGTTTATGTATGTGATGGAATGAATAACTTTTTTTGTTTCAACAATGTCTCACTCAGCAGTGGTCGTAAACTCTTAAATATGTTTTGCGCCATAATAAAAATATAACTTGACATATGTATTTATAAATAATTTATATTCAAATTACATCATTTCTATGACCAAGGGCGACGTATGGGCAACGTGGGCCACCACCCATGCCTTGCGGTCCGAAGGGCCTCATGCCTCGAAGGTTTATGCATTACTTAAAAGCCGTGAACGAGACGAAAAAGTTTTA